TGGCCAACTTCACCGATTATGACTTAAGATCGCTTAGAACTTCTGACTTGCGGCTTATTGTAGAAGGCCTATTATACATTACTTCGACATTTAAACAGTTACAATAATAAATTGCTATCCGCATTATTTAACTGATGAATTATTTACAATTGTAAAGAAACATAGCTATAAACATAATAGCGGCAATTAAGGATTACCGCACAAACATTGCCGAAACGTCTTATATCGTCTTATGTCTCTTTTATCTCTTTCAACTTTAATTGAGTCGAACAATGTAAATAGTCGAGAGCAAAAAGCAATTAAGTTCAAAAAGCCTATGCTAGATGTCTATGTCTGTTTCCGTGAGTGACGCGTCGCGACGAGCCATGCGACAGGCAAGGTACCTGTGTAACGCTACATCTGTGTACGCTGCGTCTGTTACGTGAGCTGCGCTCGATTAATCGGGCTTTGTGACAAATAATCCCCGCTGGAGTAAAACGAGAACATTCCGTTTATTCACAAATTGATATGACGTTTGCGCGTATATTACATATTATACATTTACGGATGAATTATAAATTAATTATAAATGAATTATAAACAGTATACATGGCTCTCACGTAAAATGGTATATATAAGGCGCTACGGCAATATTTGGGCAAATTATGGGCCACCGCACAAACATTGCCGTAACATCTTATGTCGTCTTATATATCATCCGTAAAACATAATGTAATTAAAGCACAGAAAAGAACATATATAGCTTAAGGAATGGTAATGAGCATGTGCTATGTTTTTCTTTGTGCGAAGCTTACGTCTTATAGGCTTTCTACAATAAGTCATTATCTAAGCTTTAAGTCTTTAGTCGTAAGAAATTGACCAATCACAGTTGAATCTGAGAAGAATAACTGATTATAAAAATTGTTCAATTTTTTATATCTTAAAATTTAAAACTTATAGAGATAACTTATTATTAAAAGTCCATTACGGATAATATAAGACGACATAAGCCGTTACGGCAATGTTTGTGCGGTAGTCCTGAAGCCTACTATTCTATAATAGGGTAAAATAAGCCGTAACTTCATATAGAATCATCCATAAATATAAGATTATGACATACGCGCAAGCGGTGCAGTAAGCTATCCATTTGGTGAGCGGGATTCTCCCGCTTTAGATATTCTGGCAGGGATTATATTGTCAAGCTCGATACGAGGGGCGCAAAACCGAACGTAGTTACATTACACATATACAGATGCAGCGTACATAGACGTACGCGGATGTAGCGTTACACGGATACCTTGCCTGTTTGCACTGTCCGCAACGCATCATTCGTGGAAACAGAAAATATAGGCATCCTGCATTGGCCTTTTGAATTTAATTTCTTTTTGCTATCGACTATTTACATCGTTCGACTCAATTAAAATTGAAGGAAGTAAAAGTAACTATGAGAGAGAGAGAGAGAGAGAGAAACAGAGATAAAGCGTTTATTGATATTCTAAGGCAAGCCCATAAGAATATAAAGTATAGCTACAGAATAGTTAACATAAAGTATTTTAAATTTAACAATGACATTTCGTATGATAACAAGCAATAGAAATGGCACCTATAGATGATAAATTATGGTGAACGTTGTAAGACGACACGAATCGAAAGATTGATGTATTATGTAGATTCATGTATACAGAGAGAGAGAGAGAGAGAGAGAGAGAGATTTTATCTCACATCGACATTTAAAAGCTTACAATGACAAACTGCTATTCATGTTATTTAACCGAATTATTTAAAATTGTAAAGGAACATAACCATAAACACAATGGCGGCAAGATAAACGGAATAATATTTTGTGCGCGGATATTATTTGGAAAAGTTACGAACGACCGAACGCGAGATCAAGAAGCTTACCCCAGAGGCATAAGGAATACTTTTGTCGCATCGAGTATAACGAACGCGTTTGAGTGAATAAGAGTTATGGTAGACCGTAGAAGCGTGCAGAGTGTGCGCAATATGGCACAGTTTATTGATCGCGCCCTCGTAGCAGAGTAGCAGACTCCTCTCGTTACAGCTTTCGTAATTTTAAATCTCTGCACATGAAACAATATTTCGCGTATCCTTGTTATTTGCCGCTTATATTTAGTGCATGCGACGCGAACAAACCTATAATGTAAGACGCGCTCCGAACAGCCCCAATAATAAATTATTAATTGATCTTTTTAATTAAACAGGCATTTGTATGAATATAAATATTTTGTAGACGATGAGTTAACGATAATATTGTAAGTAGCAGTTGATATTGGTTTTGATTATGATACTGAGGACCAGAAACGTTTATCGTTATATGTAAATTGAAGTAATATATTATTGCATTATCACCCTGCGCGTTGGCTTTTATGCTCCTTTATCTTTAAAAATTATTAATTGATATTTCATGTCGGGACATTAATTAATTAACGAATATTCCAGATCCCCAAAATCTAAACAGGATACGCTTAAATAATGAAAGCATGAGTAGAGCATCCAGGGATGTTGACTCAGGACTTTTGCCAAGTATGGAGTGACGGGCTAGCGAAGGGGGGGGAGCAGGGTCGAACTAGAGCGTTCAATGGTACAAGTGCAACCAAAAAAAAAAGGTTATTTCACTAATCGGATCCGGGAGTAAGCTGCGCATACACAACATGATTACGTTTATAAACTTTCGTTTTTGCAACACTTCAGTTATATGCACATATTCAGTCCGGTATATATATTTCATATTTTTTATGGAAATACACGCAATCAATTATTGCACTGATTAACAGTATTATTTAATCACGCTCTAACAACTGCGTTACACTCTCATTTGCCCGATTTCTCAGGATTTTTTATATTTCATATGTATAATATATTATAGACTTTACACACACACACATACACGCGCGCGCGCACGCACACACGCACACATGTCATTGAATACTGTTACATAAATGTTTGTATAAAAGAAATTAATGAATATATATATATATATAT